ATGCAACTTGATTTCTGCGTGGATCCCTCCTTTTTTGTATCTCACCCATACTTGATATGGGTGGTGAGGTGTCTGCTGGCTTCTCTAACAAAGAGAATGTTCCCCATTGGTTTTTATATAATTTCCTTGTTTCATATAGACTAAGATTGTGTAGATTAAGGTTTTCAGTTAGCAGGAGCCCAACACGTAGTAAGAACTAAGTGTTTGTTGAATGAATGAATAATTGAGTTGTTTATTCGTGGGAAAGGCTGTCTTGTGAAATAATTACCTCCTCACTAAAGGATTCACTCAAGAAGCAGCTCCAAATAGGATTCCAGATTTGGGTTGGAAGGTTGTACTAGGTGCTTAGTAAGATTCCTTCCTACCTTAAGTCAGGGACTAACACTTGAATAACTGTCAACCCACTAAAATCCCTTTTTGTGAAAACAGGAAACAGACCAATAGACTTGTCTAGTCACTAGTAGTAAGTGGCAGAGCCAGGATTTGAGCCCAGGTTTGCCTGGCTTCAAAGGCCCAGCTGTTTACATGTCACCATCTGTTGTGCACAAAAATGTGTATTTGCTAATGTCAACTTCCTTCTGTGACTCATATCACAGTGGAACAGCAGTAGCTATTGTCTAGTAATCTTTCAAAATTTGGAAGAAACATTCCAAGGCTGTGACTTCCCAAATTTAGAAATACTATAAGAACATAATTTCTTCCAAAGATGCAGTGTTATAAATAGAAACATATACATAGACCTCCAAACTCTTTTTTGAGCATTAATGTCATTAAGTAGTTATTAAGTATTGAGTAGTTATTGAGGATAGGCAGAAATCAACAAACTATATTAAATTGGTAATAGGGGGGTATGTCGTGTCGTTGTGAGCTATAGATTTATGGAGCTAGTAGGGGCTTTGGGGATTGCTTTCAACACCCCTTCCTTTCCTTTTGTTTCCTTTCCCTATAGCCAAGTGTTTATTAGAGATTGAATTGTGGTGAAGTCCTATCTTATAATTGACTTTTTGGAAATTTAAATTCTTAAAGGTTAAATAGACTGGAGTGAAAGGAAAACATTGATACACGATGGTAATTTTCCTTTGTGGTGGTGGGCAGGGCAGGTAGAAGAGGGTTAGGATGGTGGTAGGCAGCAGGGGTGGAAGACAGTTTAGGATGGTGGTGGGCAGGGAGGGTGGAAGAGGATTTAAGGTAGTTGTGAGCAGGGAGGGTGGAAGAGGTTTTAGGATGGTGGTGGACAGGGAGGTGGCAGAGGGTTTAGGATGGTGGTGAGCAGGGAGGGAGGAAGAGGGTTTAGGATGGAGGTGAGCAGGGAGGGAGGAAGAAGGTTTAGGATGGAGGTGGGCAGGGAGGGTGGAAGAGGGTTTAGGATGCCGGTGAGCAGGGTGGGTGGCAGAGTGTTTAGGATGGTGGTGAGCAGGGAGGGAGGAAGAGGGTTTGGGATGGAGGTGGGCAGGAGGCAGGAAGAGGGTTTGGGATGGAGGTGGGCAGGGAGGGAGGAAGAGGGTTTAGGATGGTGGTGGGCAGGGAGGGAGGAAGAGGGTTTAGGATGGAGGTGGGCAGGGAGGGAGGAAGAGGGTTTAGGATGGTGGTGGGCAGGGAGGGAGGAAGAGGGTTTAGGATGGAGGTGGGCAGGGAGGGCGGAAGAGGGATTAGTATATAGTTGTGCCATTGTTTAGTTTTCCTCTTGTGCTTACACATTATGATTATGTTGTGGAAATTTGGTTTAAGTTTATGATGATAATCTTTTATCTGGGATGGAATCTAAAATATGTAATGTTATTTTTTTTTTATATATAAATGAGTTATTAATTTTTAAAGAAGTATTGATGATATATAAAATAAAACATGTAATATCTACCAAAATTTGTGGCGAAAGTTTTAACCAGTTTGTAAGATCAGAGATACTAAGTGCTCCTTTAATGATACTACTAATAAAGTAAGTGCCTGTGTGCCTGCAAGGTAAAAAAGCCAGTCCTTTTTGTCCTGCTTTGCTTTAAGGCTGACAGTGTAGGGATTGTCAGTGTGGTGTGACCAATGCTGCCCACCCCCTGAGTGGCACCATTGTTTGGCTGGACTAGACTCTCCGCCTTGGGACTCAGGAAGCTCTTGCCGGCTCAGCTCAGCTCTCTGGGCTTTCAGTGTTGTGGATTGCAAAGGCTGCTTTTTCCCTGAAAACAGCCCACGTTCTCTGGCTTCCCAGCCTTTGTGTGATGGAGCTGCGGTCGCCAGGCTGGGAGGTCTCATGGGGTCCTGCAGCAGCCAGAGCATGCAGAAGGCCAGGCGGGGGAGAAAGGTGATGACTGGCACCCACGGATGCGCTGCCGAGGTCAGGAAGGCGAGTAGCCTCCTGGCAGAGGGGACGGTCGTGCAAGCTTGAGACAGGGAGCCAGCCTGGCTGCGTGTTTGTGGAAAAGCTGAATGTGACCATTATTTGTTTGGGAGCATTATATTTAATAGAAGTCTTTAGCACGTATTTGAAAATAGTGTTTAAGATTAGTAGTTGAAATTAACCAACTTAACTATTTTAATGAATGTACCTTTTTGGCAGAGGTTCTTTAGAATTGTTTCTGGTACCTTCTTATGGGAAATTTTTATATCTGCATACTATGCTTAGTGCTGTGACTGAGGAAATGTCATTTGGTTTTATTCTGCACATATCCATATGAACGATGGTTTCCAGTGGTTATTTTCTTCACTGTACAGATAGGAAGATTTTTCTGTTTGAAAAAATAGGTATATAGGTTTTCAAGTGTGCGTTAAGCATTGTTGCTTACTAGATATCCGATATTTGTAATTAATAAACTAAATCATGTTTCTTCTCTTTGTTTTAACATTGCAAAAGAACTTTTCTTCTTACACATCTGTGACAGATTTTATTTTTATTTATTCTTTTTCTTTTAGTTCAAGGTCCCTTTATGCTTGGTTTGCTTCTCCCGTTATTTTTGAATGATCAGGTTTGGTTTAAAGCTTCTGAGGATGCAGTGGCTGGTGTCACAGTGTGTCCTCTTTCCACCAGGCCTCTGACGTTTGTGCTTGGCAAGTGTTTCTTAGAGGGAAGGCATTGTGATTGTGGGATCAGCATCCACATTTCCCCACAAAGGAGCGAGCTCCCAGGGGCCCCTCCTCCTCTGGCTCGCCCCAGTGGTCGGGGCCCATGAACAGCCTCATTCAGGGAAGAGCTGGAGTTCAGTGTCCCTGGGGGAGGAGCCTCTGTTTTTTTCCCATCTGAAATAGTTTAGTATGTAAGTTATTTAATCAAGCTTGCAGATACTCATGAATAACTGTATTCTCTCAGAGTTTACAGTAAACAGCAGTGAACAGAGTAACAGTCCATGTTGTGTTTATTAAGGCTCAAATTTAAATTCAGCTTGGTGACTTTTTTCTTAAGTGTTTAAATTTACATTTTGATTATCAAAAATGAGAAAACTAAGTGTGTTTAATATCTTTATTCTGTACAGTTTCATTTGTATGATTAATTTGGAATATTTTGATAGCTTTGGAAGACAAACAGCATGTCTTAGCACATGTAGCCGATGCACAGAAAACATATATGACATGATTTTCTGACTTAGAGAGTACTGGCTCATAACAGCGGGGAGTGAAAAGAAGCTGAGGGAAGGATCTCACTCCATTCGCTTATGTCAGGTGCTGTGGGGCCCTGGCTCCTGTCCTCAGCCTCATCCCCAGAGAAGGCCGTGTGAGGGGTACCACAGCAGAAGGACCTAGGGCCACTCTGGCTTCGCTACTCACCGGCTGTTTGATTTGGGCTAAGTTAACCTCTCTTAACAGAAATGTTTTTGCGAGGATTGTAGATAGCCCATGCAGAGCACCTGTCTTGTACGGGAGCGTGCTGAGTATCCTGTCCTGGTAGTCGGGTGCGCTGTGCACCAGAGTCCTTCTCACACCCACACTCCACATCTGCGCTCTTGCTGGAAACCCAGGAGCCTTCCTGTCCTGCCCTTTGAGGTGCCTTTGCTGTCAGCGATTGCCAATGGAAAGCGTTTGTGTTTTATTCCAGATGTTTTGTACTTTATATTTACCTGTCAGTTTTTAGGACTTAACTAATTTTGGCTAAATTTGCTACACCAATACAGGGTATCAGGAAACAATTTTAAGGTTAATTTATAATTATTCTGCTATCTTTAAATAAAGTAGTGGTTATTTAATGATTGATTGATAAACCCTTAATCTTTAATAAATATAGTATGTAGGATGATCTGAGACTGTCATATTCTTTAATGAAAGTCTTTAGTTCCCAGAAATTGATTTCAGTTTTTTAGATGCAGTCTAAAGAATAAACTTTGTTTCTTTAGTAGAGATATACTTCACATATATTAAAATGCATAGATTTTAAAGGTACAGTTTAATGAGCTTCGACAGATGTATAAATCGTGTAACCACTACCCAAATCAAAACACAGAACTTACCACTCCAGAAATGTATCTTCTGCCCCTTCCCCACTGTCCCCCGACCCCTGCCACCTCTTCTCTGATTTCTGTCACCATAGATAAGCTTTGCCTGCGCTTGGACTTAGCATAAATGGAATTATGCAGGATATACTTTTGGGGAATGGCTTCTTTTGCAAAACCCAACGTTGTAGAGATTCATCCATGCTGTTGTGATTATCTGTGGTTTCTCCTTTTTGTCTGAATAGCCTTAGCTCAGACTTTCATCAGCAGTGAGCTAAAAAATAAATAAATGAAAATAAATGAATAGACTTGGCATTCCTTATCTGGTAATGGAATTCATTCTAGCCTTGTTCTGAGTATACCTATGTCAGATGTGGTTGGCAGTAAAATGAAGTCAGTTGTGTGGTCTTTGTAATAATACATGAATTTAGTAATTAATAATCACAAGGAATGATGATATTAAACACATTAGTATTACATGGAAACAACAGTATGAATTGAACAATGGTGATGGACGTTCCAAAGTTTATAAATCTTAGTGTTCAATAACACTTGAAATGTCAAATAACACTTATTCATCATTTATTGTAGGTGCTACAGAATATTTTAGAAACAGAAAATGAATATTCTAAAGAACTTCAGACTGTGCTTTCAACCTATCTGCGGCCATTGCAGACCAGTGAGAAGTAAGTTAGATGATAAATTGCATTAATTGTAAAATAGTCTTCACTTTAGGCTGTTCTCTTTTATTTTCAGAAAATAGAGGGTGGAATATGGAACACAATTCAGTGTACCAGTTTAATTTGACTTAAGCAGATTTGTTTATTAGGTTAAGACTTCAATAGGGTGTTGGATGGCAGAGGAGAAGAATACAAGTAACACTGTTTGCATATTTTTACTGTTATTTTTCTTGGCTCTAGGTTAAGTTCAGCAAACACTTCATATTTAATGGGAAATCTGGAAGAAATATGTTCTTTCCAGCAAATGCTCGTACAGTCCTTAGAAGAATGCACCAAGTAAGTAAGATGCTAAAACTTGGCAACACCCGGGTTGGTGTAGTCGGTATTTAAAGGATCAAGTTTAACATAATTTTAGAATTCACATTTCTAAAGATGCAAACTAGGTTATTTTAAATCTTTCAGGTAGATCAGCTTTTATAGTAATAGCTGTATTTTAGACTGTCTAGTTTTTATAGTAGGGACCTGCAGGAAAAGGGTGAAGACTTCACAGGTGATTTTTAAGGCGTTGCATGGAGGAAGAGTAGGGATGAAGAGCCTCTCTACAAGAGAAAGGAGAAGCGCTTTGCAGAGCGTGGAGGTGACGTGACTCAGCTCCTCACGTGCCCTGTGTGCTGCAGAGGGATGCCTTCGTGGAACTGAGGAAATGAGGAACTGCTTCTTGAAAAAGAAGCTGTGCTGTGCTGATGTCTTAGGTTTTGTCACTTTTCCAGCATTTTCTTTTGCAGGCGTGGAGGCATGTTCCAGATGATCAGCTCTCACTTTTTTCTGTGTGACTATTTATATTCTTTATTTACATCAGACATTAAAGAACACTTACCAAGTGCCTGCTAGGTGTTGGGTGACTTAAAACAGTAATGCACATGAAAAATTTTAGGTTTTAGTCCACCAGGTGATATTTGATATTTTTTTACTTGTGGATTTGACAAAGGAAGGTGACACGTTTTATTTTTAGATTTTCTTTGATTCTTATTTCTATAACCACCAGAAGGACCAGAACACTTTTTTCTTTTAAATTTTGGTTGGTCTCTGGTTTCCCCTCCAGCCATGTCTTTTTAAATCTTGGCAGTGGTGAGGGAGTAGCCTGCCTTTTGTTGCACTACTTCTTTAAATTGGTGACACTTTGCCGTGATGAAAATAGGCTTGTTCCTTAGCTCTTTGGCTAGGCTTCAAGGTTTTGTCAAGCATTTCATAATGGACGATATGGCAAGGAAAGCTGAATGCTAGAGAAACTAAATACTCGCTTTCAAACAGAAATTCATATTCTTTTTCCTTTTGCAGCATTTTTATTTTGCATAAAGTGGATTATTTATATTACCATGAAAGAGTAGTTTGGGAATCACTTTGCTTTTGGTGAATGAAGATCATTTGCAAACAATTTGAGGTCTTTGCAAGGGGCCATATTGTACACAAAATGGGAATAAATGTTTGCCTCTGGTTTTCTCACTGGCTGTGGATAATGCAGTCTAAATAAAGTAATATAAGATACTTAAAAAGTATATTTTGCAGTACCACTGCTGGGCACTATAACAGCACTGTGAACTGTTGTACTCAAGTTTCTGTCTGGCGTCGTTTTCCTTCAGGCTGAGGAACTCTTTTCAGATTTTTAAAAATAGTTCAGGTGTGTTGATAAATTCTCTCAGATTTTGTTTATCTGAAAATGTCTTTATCTTGCCTTCATTCCCGATTTTTTTTTTTTTTTGCTGGGTACCGAATTCTGGGTGAATTGGTTTCAGCACTTGAAGGATTTTGCTCCCTGTCTGTGGCCTTTGCTGTATCCAGCAGTCTAGTGACAGCCTTCGTTATGTTCTGTGGCACGGTTTCTATAGCTGTTCACCTGACTGCTTTCTAGATTTTGCCTTGAGTTTTGGTTTTTAGCATTTTGACAGTGATTGTCCTGAGTGCGGTTTTCTGACTTCTTGAACCTATAAATTTGTGTCTGTAATTTGGGAAATTGTTGGTCATTACTTCTTCAGATATTTTTCTGTTTACTCTTTCTGCTCTCCGTCTGGGGCTCCAGGTACACGTACTTAGACCTTTTGATGTTGTCCCACCATCCCTTGGGCTCTGTTCTTTTTCTTTTTTTCCATTCTATTTCTCCCTCCTTTTCTTCAGATTGAATGATATCTGTTGCTTTGTCTTCAAGTTCCCTGCCTGCCTCTTTCCTCTGTCATCCCCATGCAGTGATTTTTTAGTTTGAGAAATTGTTTATTTTTTTTTCAATTTTAGAATTTCTATTTCTTTGTTATACTTTCTGTTTTTCTGCTAAAATTTTGTATTTGTTCATTCACTGTATGCGTATTTTTCACTCATGAAATTTAAAGGGTTTTAAGAGCTCTGTGCCAGGAACCAGGGGTACAGAGACCCAATACATTTAATGTGCTCCCTCAGAAGGGCCCCAGCTGGGCATCTGCTGTGGCTGGGCCCTGTGAGCAGGGAGCAGGGAACAGTCTGCGCCCAGAGGGCAGGCCAGACCCTGTCCTGGGACCTTCCGTAAGAGTGGTTGGAAGCCACTGGGGATGGACTTTGAGCTCGGCGGTGGCATAATCCAGACATCCCAACCTTTTTGGCAGCAGCGATTGGTTTCATGGAAGACAATTTTTCCACGGACCCGGTGGTGGGGGAGTGATTTCGGGATGATTGAAGCACATTACGTTTATTGTGCAGTCAGATCTCTGCTAATGATAATATGTATTTGCAGCTGCTCCCCAGTGCAAGCATCACCTCCTCCACTCCACCTGAGATCATCAGGCATTAGATTCTCAAGAGAAGCATGCAGCCTACATCCCCTGAGTATGCAGTTCACAGCAGGATTTGAGCTCCTATGAGAATCTAATGCTACCGCTGATCTGTCAGGAGATGGACCTTATGTGGTGATGTGAGCCATGGGGAGCAGCTGTAAGTACAGATGAAGCTTTGCTCACTCACTGGCCCACCGCTCACCTCCTGCTGTGCGGCCTGGTTGCTAACAGGCCACTGGTCTGTGGCCTGGCACTTGGGGACCACAGTCATAATTGGTGTTCCTGTGTAAAATGAACTGTCTGCTCTGTGCAGAACGGGTTGAGCAGGGTGGTGGAAGGCACAGGGATGCAGAGAGACCAGAGCAGAGAGGAGGATGTTTAATCTTGTTGGGATTCTTTTCCGTGTTTAATAAATATCTTTTGCCTTAAAAGCCCCTGACTAATAATCATTTATAGTGATTTTGTGAAGGTGAAAGTAACAGTGACTTCATTTCTTGGTTTGCATTAGGTTTTCTAGTTAGTGCCTCAGGGAAGCCACTGCAGCCTGGAGTCTGTCTCCTCTCCACAGCTCTCACCAGCACCAGGAGTGGGTTGGCTTGCTCTCACATTCACTTTCTCATGTGTTCGCTCATCTTCCTCCCGTGTTTGTTTTTCCCTAAGAATTACTCCACGCCTAGATCTCGCCTGTAGTTTATACAACTTTTTCCAAGCATTCTTTTGTCCTAAAAAGAGAACTTTTTCTCTGGTTGCCACAGCAACTGGTCCTTCTTGAAGTGGCGGGAGCTTCCTGGGGCCCCACCCTCCTAGGGCCCCTGTGTGATCCTGGGAAGCACCACAGTGGGTTCTGGCTCAATGTTGGGAAAAAGCCTAGATGGCAGTGGGTAGGGAGCACTTGTTAAAATAGTATTCACATTTCTTTCTGCTTGTGGAAGAGTTATAGACTCAAAATATCCAGAAACTAAAGAATAGGGCAAACTGAAAGTTAACATCTTTTCATCCAGAGATAATTATTGTTTACATTGTCGTCCTCTTCTCTAAACTGTGGTTTTTAGGGAAACATAGGTATAACTGAGGCTGGGATCCAGAGCCTGCCTGCTTGCTTTGGGCAGTGAGGTTGCAGTTCAGCCTCAACAGAGGCAGGGGTGGATGGCACAGGCAGAAGGGACTGGGCGTCTCTTCCTCTAGGGACGCCCAGTCCAGACGGCATTACTGTTGTCGGGAATTAAGTGATTTGCAGATGTGTCAAAAAAGGGCCCCAGAAGAGAACTATAGAAAAATTTTTACCACTTTAGTGTCATTAGGAGAGTTTCTCAAATACCATTTTAATGGCAGCTCTTGTCTATCTTATGTCTGTACCATTTTAGCTATTACTTCATTTTCAGACGTACTTTCTTCTCTGAGTCTTATAAGTAAATATATAAGGTGAATTTCCTTATGTAGACCTACCATTTACTGAGTTTCTTTTTTTTTTGAGAGACAGTCTTGCTGTGTTGAGCTGGCTGGAGTGCAGTGGCATCATCGTAGCTCACTGCAACCTCTGGTCTCAAACAATCTTGCTGCCTCAACCTCCCTAGTAGTTGGGACTACAGGCGCACACCATGACGCCCAGCTTATTTTTCTGTTTTTGGTAGAGACAGGGTCTCACTCTTGCTCAGGCTGGTGTTGAGCTCCTGAGCTCAAGTGATCCTCCCACCTCAGCCTCCCAGAGTGCTAGGATTACAGGCATGAGCCACCTTGCCCAGCCTATTCAATTATTAATATGTTTCTGGGCCTGTTCTCAGTTCTTTATATGTATTAACTAATTATGTCCTTTCAATGACCCTGGTGAGGTAGATTTTTAAATGTAAGAAAGTCAAGACACCAAGAAGTCGAATGACTTGCCAGGATCATGGAGCTAGTAACTGGTAGATTCAGATTTGGAGCCAGCTTGTCTCCATTCGATGTAGTGTGAAAGAGTAACTGATTCTGAGAGTTCCTCCTCCCCAGGGAGAGTGTCAGGGTTATAGTTTTACTCCTCTGGTCAGCAGTACTTGCCAATAGGCTCTGCTCCGCTTCTCACCCACTCTCCGCTCACCTTGATGGCCTCCTGGGGCCCAGTGGGGAGCCTGGCTCCTCCCTCTCCCTGGCTGCCTTCTGTTGAGAACAAGCCCTGCCTCACTTCCAGATAGGGCAGTTGTAGGGGGTTGAGATGGGGCGTGTTCTTAGGATAGCCTTTGAATGCAGTTTTCCTTTAAAATATTATTTTAAGTGATGGAAAATTCCCTGTAATACACGATTCCCTATAATCTGTGTAGATACTATTACATTATGGCTTAAAGAATCTTTGGACTCGTCTGGAAATGTGGAACTGTGGCTTATAAAATTGCTTCTATGGGGAAATGAATTCCCAGAATCTAACACTGTCTTCAAAACAAGTTTTTCAGATAAAACTCATTTAGTAACTTGGGGATTTGCTTGTATTTTATGATAAAAAGCAGGTTAAATTCTGATGAAAATAGAACCTAAGAAGTTCTCTTTTGGAATATCCTTGCTATTGTA